ACATTGCCCTCTTGTGTTATTATTTCAAATACCTCTTGTTGCCTAATGGATTAACATAGCAATGATAGCAATCAGTTATGTAAAGGGAAGAAAATGAGCCGCGTGTATAAGCCTATGTATACTACCTTAAATATTTATGAAGACTAAATTGTAATAAGATTAACAGTTTTCGATTTATCTGTTACCTTTTCATTAAATCGCAACGGTTAGAGCTATACAATACCCCACGATATTTTCCCTTTTTTTATTTTGACTGTGATATCTTCCCGGAACTTTGTTTAAAAAAAACCCATCAAAGGAATTCGACATAGCACAATCATATCGGTTGGATAATGGGTTTTAAAAGAAACCTCATCCCAAAGATTAACAATTAGATGTATTCCTGCCCTTTAATGTACAATATTCCTTACGAAAATGTAAAAGAGATATATAAATTAAGATATTCTGGGCATGATGTGATGCATTTTAGCATGACATGGGCGCAGCCATTTTCTTGAAATTGTGACGTACCATATGAAGTTATACATGTAAAATGCACCAAGCTTTAGTTAGAAAGAATTTAAAGTGCCTGTTATTTTTTAGAATTTAAAGTGCCTGTTAAAAAAATTACAAATATGGCAAAAAACGTATAACTAGAAACTGGTAAGCTGACAGATGCCCATAGGAAAGAAATGAGCCTGCCGCATACTCCTGCGGCAGACTTGCCGCAGATCTGCAGCAGACCTGCCGCAGACAGTCATCTTTTTCACATGCAAATTAGTTTTGCCGCAGACTTGCCGCAGACCTGCCGCATACTCTTTCAGTATGATTAAGAGTCTGCTGCAGACCTGCCGCAGACTCTTCATCATGAATATTCATATCTCATATAGACCTGCTGCAGACCTGTCGCATACTCTTTCATATCCAGTACGTGGCAATAAAGTATGCATGTAGAAGAACCAGTGATAAACTGATTGATACTTCTTAATCAATATTGGCAATATCGATATTACCAGTTAGGTAATACCAATATATATCGATATTACCAATTAGGTATATTCTATTCTCAATTGTATTAACTCCATCACATAGATCATTTGAAGTGTATTCAAGAATAACATTTAAAGTGACACAGGCTCGTACACATACATATACTAAATATGTATATTGTTTCTTGGTTAGTAATCATATAATCAATATATCTATTGCTAAAACGTGAATGTAATTGTAACATGATCAGACAAAATAATCTATTGGTTAATAATGGCAAAAGGAAAATAGAAATCACAAAAATGATGTGCATTGTCTTAATTTGCTTAAAAAATCATGATAAATGTATTTTTCTGTCACACGTGTAAAGTAATAATGAATATGCATGAGATGATTGGTTTCAATAGGCCCTATTAGACTTTAAAAGGTTTTCAATTGGTTTTAATTGGACCAATTGAAGTCCAACTTCAGGCAAATTGGGATCCCATTAAAGTCTAATTGGGCATAGGCCAATGGGGCCAATGGGCCCAATTGGTCCAATAGGGACAATCTGGACCAATTGAAACCATCTGAAGTCCTATTAAAGTCCCATTGAAACCTGTTAAAACCTATTGAGACCAATTGAAACAAATTGAAAATTCAATTGGTGTTCAATTGGTTTCAATTGGATTTTCGTCTTGGGTAGTTACAACAAAAAAGTGAGTTAGTGGGGCTGAAGATAAGATCACATATGGCACAACAAAAAAGTTTGAAACAGTCCGTTAATTCCTCAGTCTCCTCTTATGTAATAAATTCCTCTTATGGTACCAGTTGAACTTGAAGCAAATTGTTTGGTTTGACAGAAGCTAAAAAGACAATTAACAGTGCTAATTAACACAGGAAATTACAAGATCATGGGCTCAGCCTGCAACCTCATATGGTACTGCATGTCCTACAAAATGGCCGCCTATAGCCTTGCTTCAGACTGTATAATTTCCCACTTTTCTGTGGCAGACCTGCCGCAGACTGTTCCTGTGGCGTACAGGTATGCGGCAAGTCTGGAGCAAAGTTTCATCCTGCCGAAGATCTGCCGCAGACTGTTCCTGTGGCAAACTAGTATGCGGCAAGTCTGGAGCAAAGTTTCATCCTGCCGCAGATCTGCCGCAGACTGTTCCTGTGGCATACTAGTATGCGGCAAGTCTGGAGCAAAGTTTCATCCTGCCGCAGATCTGCCGCAGACTGTTTCTGTGGCATACTAGTATGCGGCAAGTCTGCAGCAAAGTTTCATCCTGCCGCAGATCTGCCGCAGACTGTTCCTGTGGCATACTGGTATGCGGCAAGTTTGCAGCAAAATGTATTTCTGCCGCATACTTCGGCATACTTCGGCATACTGTCTGCGGCAGGTCTGCGGCAGTTCTGCGGCATACTTTTCACTTTCCTATGGGTGGCTATCGTACAAGTTTTAGGTCAACTACAAATCGGGTGATTTATAAAAATACAAATAAAACCACCTCCATAGCATTTGACATATGCGAGAGATCCGTCAGAAAAATAACGATGTTTTAATGCCGTCACAATATGAACTAATCCTGCCCAAGCAAACGACATCCCATAAAGAATGAACATAATTGCAATGCTCTTATTTCTCAAATTATAATGAGTTTAGTGAATATAAATGTCATGGAATTTTACACCATTCTAAAAGGGATATGAAACCGATTCTGATAACTGAATTATTTTGTTGATAAATACACAGGATAGGGGTTAATGAACAATCAAAGAAACCACACTTTCAAATTGAAACAAAAACCCCGGAATGATAGCATGGACGGCATATGTTACCTCTTGAAACGCCGAACATACCGCGGTGTATGCAGCTGAAAATACAATGGCGTCTTATTATGTTTACAAGCGACAGATTCCTTCATTTTCTTATCCTTGCATTTTTCATGAGGAAAAATCATATCTGAGAAGAAAGAAATTATATTTTGTGAATAAATATAACAAGTTTCACCTTTGCAATAATGACAATAAAGTTAGTTTTTAAAATCAATGAACCTTCTTCAATAACAAAACCTTCAGTTTTCAATGAGGAAAAATCATATCTGAGAAGAAAGAAATTATGTTTTGTGAACAAAATATAACAGGGGAAAAATTGCTTCTATAATTCATTAAAAAATACTAAACTATAGCAGTTGAGAGGAGCACCAGCTTATTCAAACAATTGGTGTTGTAGTACAGAGGATAGTAGCAGGTGAATGAAATGCTTCATCACCACACACAGCTGGGAAGGAAGCATCAATAATTTTGAATACATTTACTTGACAAACGACTTTACATAGTACTTCACGTTATCAAGAAAATGGCGAACGCCGGCGGATGTCCGTGTCGTGCTGAGAAATTGTATATTATTCTTGCTTTATGCCTGGGAATCTTGTAGATTAAAGGTAATACAAAGTTTTGGTATGGGGTCATGGATTTGGATCAAATGAACTTATTGGAAGCATATGCGATCCTAAAATATTTAGTGATCGTTGTCGCGGTTGAAATTGAGTCTAAAGTTTTGAAATTGTAATTAATAAACACTTTATGTTGTATAGCTCCCTCTCAAGGTCAAGATATAAATTAAGCCATAAAACAATGTTTCTTGACTAAAATCGACAGATTGGCTATTAAAGTTTGGACAATATATATCACAACTACATATTCTGAGATTTTCATGGTCGCAGCTACCATTGAATGGCCGTAAGCATTATTTGAAATTTATCAAAATTTACCGGGAGCACCGGTACATTTTTATATTCAATTTTACTCAAAAGCAGAAGTGTTTTAGGGGCTAAAGTTTCTAGTGCTTATAATACATCCACAGGGGCATCCAAATATATCAAAATTGTAAAGAATCACTATCCGACAAATTTCAAAATTTCCCAAAACTTTGTATTACCTTTAAAGGGGGAGAATAAAACAAATCTCTCAGAATAAGTAAAGTTATTCTTCGGGTGAAGTGACAGGGATGGGGGTTCATGTTTGTCGATATTCATGTAAGTAACAAGATGGTATAATGACTTTTCCTAATATGCACATTTTTGTCATTATAGCCTAATTAATTATGCAAAATGCAAATTGTATGCATTTTACAGAAAACTCTAGATATTTTTCTCTAGGCTTGTGAAGAATCTTGGAAATGTATTGAATAAATGAAGTTTCATTATTGTTATGATATTTGAACATGCAAGGGTAATTTGCATAAACTATTAATACGCAAAATTACGTGATATTAAACAAAAATTCTCACTGTAGAAAAAATAAATCTCCACTACCCGTTTGCATATCACTGCTCATATCCGAAGAAAAAAAGTGCGTCATTCATCATTTTATTTTCTTATGTATTTTATCGTTTTTTATTTCTTATTATATCTATTGTTTTAATTCGAATTTATTCCTAGAAAACACCAAGTTACTTTGAGAAACATATCAAAGCAATTTGATATCAATTCATATCTCCCACTTATGAAGAAATACATCTATACCTGTATTCACATTTCTGCTTGTACATGAATAGATGCAATTATAACACTTTTTGATGACATGCGCATAATAACTGTTATGTAACACCTTGCAAGTATATCCGATTTTGATGAAAATGGTATCAAAATGTGCGTAAGACTAGAGGGAAAAAAACGTCATGAAACGACAATTTAAAATTCCAAGTGGTTGCGGCGCAATCTCCGAAAATGTATCTATTGAAAGAATAAATACCCAATTGGTGTTTATTGATGCTAATAGATATTATTGTCTTTGAGATATTGATATTTGCCTATTAATTCTCATGAAACCGTAGTGTTTCTAAATAAGGTTAGTTGAGTGTTTTGAATACAAATATATTTCAAAATTAATTTCAGATGTTAATAATTAAAACCATAAACCGTACTTTGAAGAAGAAAAAAGATACGTTGAGTTTGATGCATTAAGACCAACATTATTATCAAAATTAAGATGTGATTTATTTACAATTTTCTTTCTCTTTTTTTACTATAGGATTTGGAATAGTTATGGCAGTCTTCTCCACATTGGTTACCCTCGCCAGATTTTTCCCAAATTCCTTTATCTTCTCGAATTCACTAACGCAGTTTGGTGCTATATGTGGTGTCTTCACAGTACCCATTATTGTCGAGAGGTCGCTTGAAGCGTATGGCTATGACGGTGCCTGTCTCATCTTAGGTGGGATCTCACTTCATGCTGTGGTCTCTGCGATGATTCTTAGACCGCCAAAGGACCTCCCTTCGAGGACAGAAGAAAATACGCAGCTGATGGACGCACATCCGCCAAGTGATAGTCACTCTATCATGGAGAACGAGGAGCATCAAGGATGTTCATATTGGGGAACTGAATCAGATAATGATGGCTTCTCACGCTCAAACACTCAATACATGCAGGCGGTAGTGGACTTCTTTCATTCTCTTCCCTCAGTTGGAGAGTTGTTCAAATCTTTCATTCTTGTCGAAGAGCCATTATGTACACTAGTTATGCCTGCCGTCTTCTTGGCTAACTACGTATTTTATGCTTGGCTCTTATTCCTAGTGCCTCACGCAGAGGATTTTGGAATAGAACCATCAAGAGCCGTACTTTTGTCTTCGATTGCAGGCATAGCTGGTACATTTGGAAGCATTGTCTTTGTGGTCCTCCTTCACTTTAACTACGACTCAACAATCATCATCATTTTCTGCTGCTCGATGTCTGCCATCTCTTTCTGTTTGGACACACTCAGTTCGTCGTTCATGTTCTTAGCAATAATGGCTTGTTTTCAAGGTTTATTCCTGTTCGTGCTTCAATCCGTTACATCCGTGATGGCGAAGCTAGCAGTAAGAGATGCAGAGAATATACCGAGTGCACTCTCCCTCTTTTTCTTCATCGAAGCAGTTGGTATAGGAGTGGGAGATACAATATCAGGTACATATACATAGGTGGTACTGGTATGCATAGTTTAATTATTGGTGATTAAATCTACTTATTTAAACAGGTACATCAAAGGTTTGTTCTAAAGAAAGAGAGAGAGAGAGAGAGAGAGAGATGGGATTCTCCTTTCCTTCTCCATAATTTTCCTTTTCCTCTTTTAAAATGTCTGTCCGGGGCGAAACTTTTGTATTAACATAAATTATGGTTTGTTGGGAAATTTTCTTTTCCCTCCTCCTCATAAACAATGTTTTATTGACGCCACTTGGTACATGACTGTCTCGTGACCGAAATAATTCATCTTAAGATCCATTGTCCATAGTTTGTGTATTATAATAGAACTGGGTTCGATCAGGGGCGTCAATCCTTTTTAAAATGTGGGGGGGCACAATGGAGTAAAATATGAAGTGGCGCGGGCAGGGGAAGGGTTGTCTGAGGGGGGTGGAGTGGGATGTAGGCCCCTCAGAATTTGAAAGAAAATTGAATTTCCAAACTCATTTGGCGCGATTTGGTGCATACTTTCTAACTATATTTTATTGGAAGTCATAGACTAGATTCCAATGGATTTTTTTTTCCTGAAAGGGGAATATCTTATGTCACTATTACAAAGACTCAGAGACATATTTGCTATACAAGCTTTATTATTGTCATTATTATGTAAAATCATTCCATGGAGTATCTTGATAACAACAGTTAGGCTTAAAATCAGATACTACATGTACCTGTCTTGTTATTCATTATCACTAACATAACGTTTTGGTACACAGTTTTGGTCGGTATATTTTAAAATATTTATTTCATCACTTTCGTCAAATATTGAGTGTCCATACATTGTGACACCTCGTAAGACAAAACTAAAAAGGCAACTTGTAAGTCATGGCTGTAATTTGTAAAAATAAAACTATATGAAATATTATATAAGATAGAAATAAAATGGATGTAAGTAAGTAATAAGTGACTATCTAGATAGTGAATGTTATGATAACTCTGAAAAATCTCACAAGGTAGCATTCCATTTACCATACCGGTGAGTATAATAAAATTCCATTTATCATTAATAAATATCTACAAAAAGCTAAGTCCACCTCATATTAACGATAAAAAAAAACATCTTCAGTTCACACATCTTCACCTGAAATAGAGAGTTAGAGTATGACACATCTCCTGATTAGTGAATCATACATTTCAGTAAATCGAAATTGTATAACTCGGCGATAATCATGTTTTATATTTGAAATCTCGAAGTTTGTGGTAGACAATGTTTGACCAGAGTGGCTAGGAATAATATGGTTTAACAGCTGCTGAGCACCATTTTGTAGCAAGCTCAAGACATTTGATCAGAAATAGCTCGGAAGTTGCGATCTATACGATTCGAGTTCAGGAATATAGTTTGTCACGTTTGTCACCTTACCATAACACCTGATTAAATTATGTTTTGAACAAACTGAATTCAAACTGAAAGTATATTTAAATATAATCCCTTTACTAAATATTTATCTATAAATACTGATCATCATGTAATAATAGTGATAATCGATTTATTCATAACATCTGAGATTTCTTCTAACCAGTATATTACCGAACATGTTTGCTATAAAAACAAAAACACAGATAATACATCAAATAAATCAAGGCTTCTTTTAAAGTGCAACTGCTTTGACATATGGCAGTGAAAACTCGAGATATTAATGCTGAATTGTAATTCAGATCATGTCTATCCTAAACTACCAATGCAAATACAATTGCAAGTACTGATTATGCATTTCAAAATGTTTTCTGTGTTATCCTTTTAATTTTTAAAATAAAATATACACAAACAAATGTCAGTGCATCACTGTATTGTTGACAGCCCAGGGTAAATAAAGGTCCATGAAAAATGAACTGACAAATAATAAGCCGTGATCATAAAAAATAAATAATTACTAACTAGTAAAATCTTTAAGTAAAAGCATAAGCTACATAAGTAAAATGTGTAGCTTAGGTAATTGCTAAAAATCACATTCATAACTTTTTACTTTAAATATGATTACATCTGTTACTTGCCGCGGCTAGCAAGTTGTCTAGTACTTACTTACAGCAGCAGCTCCAAAAATAGCGTGTTTTTTGTGAAAATCTCAGCAACACAGAGTATATTTCAGGATTATTTTATGAATGTCACATTCAGTGACTATAGTTACTCATATAAATTGTAGGCTAAATGGGAATATAAGATTTTAAATATCGACTTTAAAGATGTGTTAATATAATGTCGAAACAACCTCATTAACCCCATTATTAAATTAACAAAATGTGGGATATAAATTTGTCGGTTGTTGTTCTAAACAGATGCAAACTAAAATGGAAATGCCATAACTTTAATAAAAAAAAAGGTTAATGCGATTCACCAGACAAAGTGCATGCTATGCCTTAAATGTAAGGGGTGTAGGGGGGGGGGGGTAAAGACTACTACTTGCTTCATAAAAGTTATATATTTTCATCAATGTACAGAAGTTTGACTTAAAGTTGAAAATCAACTACAAACGTTATAAATAGATCTGCTTGTAAAAACACTGGATACTGCTGAAACATCACTTTGGTTGATAGACATTCGAGCATTTACTAATCTAGAAGCATTTACTTAAAGGTAATACAAAGTTTTGGGAAATATTTAAAGTTGGCTGGGTAGTGATTCTTCACAATTTTCATATATTTGGATGCCCCTGTGGATGTATTATAAGCACTAGAAAATTTAGTCCCTAAAACACTTCAGCTTTCGAGAACAATGGAATATAAAAAATTACCGGTGCTCCCGGTAAATTTTGATAAATTTCAAATAGCGCCTACGGCCATACAATGGTGGCTGCGACCATGAAAATTTCAGAATATGTAGTTGTGATACATAATTTTCAGAAGGGAATAGCCACTCGGTCTATTTTAGTCAAGAAACATTGTTTTATAGCTTAATTAATATCTTGACCTTAAGAGGGAGCTAAACAACATAAAGAGTTTATTATTTACAATTTCATAACTATAGACTCGAATTCAACCGCGACAACGATCACTGAATAGTGTAGGATCGCATATGCTTCCGATATGTTAATTTGAACCAAATTCATGACCCCATACCAAAACTTTGTATTACCTTTAAAGAAAGTAGTAACTACTTTGGCTTTAATATTTTACCTTTTACTTGTGAATGTAATTGAGAACAAGACAGCTTAATACCTTCAAGTTAAGAAGAGATGCGGCAAGTGAAACTTAAATCGTCGACAATATATTATATTATATCGACTGTATTGGCGATTCAGCGATTGGTCGATAGTTAAAACGACAATGAGGACTTTTGATGAAGCCTACATGGTCTAGCATAGTCATTTTAACTTGAATATTAAAATAACCGCAGGCCTGTAACTTTCTGGGGAGGCAAGGGGTGGGGGAGGGGGGCGTGTCACGTTAACCATATCACGTTAACCATATCACTGGTCTATCATTGTTTCATATGATAATGATAAACTATAACATTCAGATTCTATTATTTTGACATGACTATGTAACTTAACTGTTCTTTTTATCTCATTTCGATCAGGGCACATATATGATGTCACATCTTCGATGCACACAGTCTTCATATCGTTTGGTATTGCTCTTGTTGTTGCGATGGTCAATCTTATCATCTTTGCCATCTTGGTTTGTTACAAGGCATCAGTAAAATCAGATTCCTAGGTGAAATACGGCCTTCATCTGAAATATTCCATATTGTATGTAATCTTTACAAATATAAAATATTGCAAGCAGATATGTCAAAGAAGATATTACAAATACAAACATTACTTTCAAAGACTTGATGCATGGCTGATCGTCAACGAAACGGGGTTAAGTCTTTTGAAATTCTGCTTGTTGCTACGGCAGGCAGCCAGTGAAAACGAACTCTTTAATCAAATTATTAAAATGCAAGCATTCCTTTAAACAAACAGAACTTTGTTATCCCTGGCTCATTTTTCCAGATTGAAGTGTCATAGGAAAGGGAAGAAATGGAACTTTCTAGAAATGTGATTTTAACTTTGAAATTCAGATACTGCCCGCCAAATGATTTTGTTTTTGTTTCCTCTCTTCAAATTGTTTCCAATCACTTATGCGTGAAATATATACATAATAAGAGTTGCATCAAATGAAAGGGGAGGATCTAAGCTTTACAAACATATGTCATTTATTAATTATAATGGCAATTACGTTATGATAAAACATCGATAATTCTCGGTTACGTTTTTTCTGGGACGCATTGTATAGTGTTGATGTTCCATAATCCATAGAAATGTAGGACCGTAATCTGTCTACATTGAAAAAAGAAAGAAAAATGAGAGTCATCCATATGTATCTCACCTTCACCTAAAGTCAAGTGTAGGAAGGTTTTTGAAAAAAATAGGATAAACCATTTATCACAAAGTGTTTGATATATATCTTTGATTGCTTTTAATTTAGTATTAATATAAACTGTTGAACATGTATTTAGAAATCATAGAATCACTTTCATAGGTTTTATATTATGCCGTTGCCTTACTATTCCATAATCATCCTGTTTTTCATTCATTTCTGTCGGTATAATTTATGATGTATTATAATATGCTAATTTTTGTATTTTCATCTCGACATCAGTTGTAGATGCATATGTACATACCTTTCATACTGTCATATTGAGAACACTGCTTACATTTTAGTATTTTGTTGATTTGATATCCGTTTTTAATGTTCATGACCTGTTTGCTAACTTTGCTTATTGTATTCTGTCATATCATGTTTATAGCATTCTATGCTTATTTTGTTTTCTTCCGAACTGTATACACTGTTTGGAGATGTGATTTTCTCCAATGATATGGGTTATAGCGCCAGCTATGGGCATGTTGTATGTTACGAACGAGTACTATGTTATAAAGAACACCAATCTGAAATGTTTTTGAGCCTCTAAATGAAAGACTTCGTTTATTTCTTTTTCTCTCGAAGTGTGTTATCTATTGGAGAAAGTTATACAAAATGTACGTGAAGATTTACCTGCCTTTAAAGACTGATTTTATTGTCTCCCTTGAGTGGCATTTAAACACATGTTTCACATAAATAACCTTTCTGGTATTGAAAACGATATCGTAATAGGGATATTCGTTATCAAATTAGTAATGTTTCGACATTACGTGATTAATACATTCCTGTCGCTTCCTTGTTGCTTGTTGTATATTTGTAATACATAACATGAAAAGAAAATATTTTAAAAAAAACAGTCATACAATTGCGTTAAATCTTTTCAGGAGTAACTTTTAGGAAAGCTTTAAGATACAAATTTAAAAAAGGGCAGGAGAAAATTTGATCAAACAAAATTGGATAAACTACTTAAAATAGCTAGACATACGTCACAGTCTCATGTCAGATTTGCCAGTTCACATTTTACCCACACTTTTAGTGACGTCATTTTTAAAGATTCAATATTAACAATTTCCTTCAGTGTTCCTAATTTTCTATCAATCACCACTTGTTTCTCAGATATATTTTGCTTTTGTCTTTACCCAACCTTTGATTACCGTTATAGATAATAAACTGACAACAATGGTATATATACATATATATATATATATATATATATATATATTTATTTATACACACACTGTTTGTGTGACAAAAGTCCATAGTGGCACTCCAATATCTGTACTGTTTGAAAACAGAAACTGTTTAAGGGTGATTCTGTATGCAATGTATCGCTTAGGAAATATGCCTTTTTTTGTCCAAAAAAAATGAGAATATTTTGACATGATCACTAGTGTTAATGTCAGAAATAACTATTAGTCAGCAGTTTGACCAGGAAATTTTCATTTAACGATGAAATAAAATGTCATTTGTATAGAATCACCAAAAATATTTAAAGGGGAATTCCACCCTGATATTCAATTGTTTTTAATAGAAGTAGAACAATTTGAAAAACAATTCACTAAACATTTGAGAAAAATCAGGCAATCAAGAAGAAAGTTTTGAATCTGTCAAAATCATGAAAAAACATGGAATCTGTGAGACTAATTTGCAATTTCCTTGAGAAAGTTGTGATGTCATCCTTTCGCAATTCACCACTGGTCTAAATGACAGAATGACCCAATTTTTTTATTTTTTTAAAAATGTTAATGGAATAGAAGACCTATCTTATATGGGGTGCATGACAGAACATGTTATCCACGATATAGATCGAGATAGGCACAAAACATATCTTTTGATCAAAATAGAATTAATACAATTTCTTGCATTCAACGAAGGATAAAATGTAGGAGGCTGACATCATATTTAGAGACTGGGTTGCCAATTTGATAATAATAATGCTGTAGTTGTAATAATAATAGTGGGTTCTTGTAAAGCCCTCATGTATGTCAGATTCTCTGGCGCTAAATGATTATTAGCATGGCTGCCATTAATAGCACCTTGAGGAGTCCTGCCATGTACCCATTTACAGACAGTGATCGAGGCAAAGGTAGATTAATATCTTTGATAAGGATCTCAGTGTACTACTGGATCTACTAGCAACCCGCTTGGAACAGCAAGAATTTATGTACAAATCAAATATTCACGTGACTTGCACAGGGAATGCCAGAGGTTCTGTTGAAACACTTTGAAATAACATTGGAAACTCGCAAGCAATTCACCTGCAAATATCTAGATTATTCGCAAGTTTTAAGTGCGATTTTTCAAAAGCAATGCAGGACCTTTCATTGGAATTAACTGGTCCTAGTGTCTCATTACTGTATTGCTGGAGTCACAAATCATCCTGTAGATACAGGCTCCATCGTACAGGAGTTTTAGTGGAAATAACTTGGTCTGAGTGTCTCTTTGCTGTATAATCGACTGTTATAAAGATTACCTTTACATTACTGGAGTAACACATCTTTCTACAGATGTAGGCTTTATCGTACAGGAGCTTTAGGGGAAAATAACTTGGTCAGATTGTCTCTTTACTTTAGAAGTGACTGTTATAAAGACCCCATTTACATCCCTGGAGTCACACATCTTCCTGCCAATTTAGGCTTTATCGTACAGGATCTTTATAGTGGAATTAACTTGGTCTGAGTGTCTCCTTACCTTAGAAGTGACTGTTATTAAGACTCCATTTACATCCCTGGAGTAACACATCTTTCTGCCAATGTAGGCTTTATCATACAGAATCTTTGATGGGAATAACCTGGTCTACATATTTCCTTAGTGTTGAAGTTACTGGTGTTAAGACTGCTTTGGGACAATAGTTCTTTTCCAAGTTCGGTGGGGTTAGGTGATGTGTAAGTGGCCGGATCAAACCCTTCTCGAGGTCCGCTCCAAAAGTATACTGAAGACCGAGGAAAGAAATGCAGAAATAGAAAGAAAAATTTAGCAGACACAAGGGAAAGAAATAAAAGAATTGTAATTAACTAAATAATTTATATTTTATTGTGCTCATATCCGTCATACAAAGAGCTCAAGATGCTCTAAGATTAATCACCCCAGCTTTATATTTCAAATCTCTTTGTATTTATTTTTTCTTTATTGTTCCTTTCAATCTCTCACGAATCGGTCATCATGCATCGTATACCCCAGCTTAAGATCATTTACCTATTTTGAAGCTAACAGCATAAAAACGAAATCGAGTTGTTACTATTTTGTATTTATGATGGCAATGTAAACAAGTACTTATGTTTTGGGGCAATATACAGATAGGTAAATCATCAAACGCATTTAAACTGTGCGGTCTTATTATTTACTTTGTCCATGATGTGTACGTTTTCAATTGGTTTCAGTGACAAATGCAAGTTATCAATCTAGTACTTGATTCCCGAAATTGTGGCATTTAACATGCATATGTAAAGCAAACATGAATGTCAACACAGATATCCAAAACAAAAGATTACTCTTTCATTGAGAAGGGAAGACTGTTATAGCGCCACCTTGTGACTGACTTTGTAATAAACCACATGAAATACTACGTAGTCGTATAGCCAATGAGTTACTCATGTATTTATTATCGTCCCTCTGTTATCAACAAACCAGTAATTTTAATGTTATGTAATGTTGGACAGTATTCCCACTTGTACCAACACAACAATTTTAATTTGTTTTCCCAAGATAGATGACTCAGGGGAGTCTTTTTATTTTTAGAGGACTTGTAACCTATTATAATGTCAATGTGATGTAATGGTGGACAGTTTTCCCACTTGTACCAATACAAACATATTATATAATGTTTTTTTCCCCAAAAATAGATGACTCTGGGGAGACTTTTCTTTTTAGATGACTTTTAATTATATGCTATCTCTGATACCTGAATAATAGTGCCCCAAGAAGATGGCACATGAGAGAAAAATAGAAGAAAATATATTTTTTACACGACAAACAAAAATTGACGATATACGTTACAATCCACTGACTAAAATTGCAATTTGAGATTCGCATAGCTATAGTGATCTCATATTTCAAACTTTAAGAAAACTTTCATTATTGGTCCGATTTATTTAAACCCATTTACAATTAGGATTGCATTATTTGTCTACTGTCATACAAATGAGGATTATACCCCGCCCCCCCCCCCTCCCCTCGTCTTCTTGCCAATATCGGAGGGATGACATAACAAAGAGCGTGATAAGGGGGAGGGGGGGGGGGGGGTCCAGTCCGCAGATACTATCGGTGCATACATGGGTGTCGATCCCGGGGGGATGGGGGATATATCCCCC